CCCCAAAACCCCAAAACCCCAAAACCCCACAAAGCCATATAAAAATTGTATGGGCCTTATATTAATATTAGCAACTTATGAAATACATTCTGATTGCTGTAGCTCTGATCGCTCTTGCGATGTGCGAGCCAGAACACCCAAGATGGCCAACTAAATTCTCAATGGAATTTGATGAGAAATTCACATATGGACCTCTGAGTGACGAAACTCACGGAACTTTCTATTATGATGCTGCTAGTGGGAGGTACAAGGTTGAGAGAGATAATGGAAGATATGATAGATACTGTGGATGGAACGGAATCAAGATCATTGATCCAACTCCTTGTACTCATTATGTTGATGAGGAAGGTGATAGATATTTATACTATCCAACTAGGAAGGAATGCTGCTACTGCTGCTCAGCTGAGCATGGATGTGGCATCCTAAGACAAAATTGGCAGCAAGGAGCTGCTTTTGAAGGAGAAATCGAATTTAATGGATACCCAGCCTATAAATGGGATAAGAAGGGACTGCAGAGTAATCTGTACATTGAGACGATTGCTGAAAATCCAGATGATAGAATCATGCTTAATATTGATCAAAAGCCAAACGACAGCCAGACCTTTGACCCAGACACTTATGAGACTGATTTCCCAGACAAAAAGCTTGAAAAACCATCCATCTGCCAAAAGAGTCACAAATGCTCTCTTCTCAGTGTTTGCACCGGAGTTCGTCACGGATTTTCATAATCATCCAATAAGATTTTACCAAATTTTCTTACGTCACTTATTTACAAAAACAAAACTTTTCTAACCCTTATAAATACCATTCTCCACTCCACTATATATCAACCTATCTTCCCTAACCTCTCTCTCATCCCTTACGTTCCTCACATCCCTCTCTGCACTCAAACAACCCCTAAATCCTACTCCCCAACCCCCATTCTCCCTCCCAATTTCATCTCGTCACCATCCCTCACCACAAAAATTTGCCCAAGCCAGAACAGAATCTCCTTCAAAAACTCTCCAATTTCCCACTTCTCTTCTCTTACCTCCCTTTCCGCCTTCAACTTCACCGCTGAAGTCTCTACAATTGTTCTAGTCTCTTCCTACAAGGCATAGGTAGGAACTCCTGTTCTGTGTTGGGGTGTGTTCAGAAGAAGTCGGTCTTTAAGAATGAGATCAAGAATAATTGAGTTTAAACGAGAGAAATATGGAGGGAATAAATGGTATTATTGCGTAAGACGAGGTAGAAGAAGGATAGAGTAAATGGAGCTCGTTCCCTTGATCGGACTGTAAGGTATTATGAATGACTCTTATTGGGGGTATTTGGGAATTCTTCTTATTCACCTTAGACCTCCCTCTAACCCTCTTGTTTCTTTCGATATTTTTCATCATAAATAAACAAACAAAGCAACCTCAGTTGTTTCAAACACCAGACCAACATTCTCCAACCTCCACTCTACATCTAATCAACTTCATGGATGACTGAAGAGTTCTGGAAGGCAAAGGATCATCTTACTACCCCCTTCCCACATCTATTATCATTCTTAACTAGGCCAAACATGTATCTCTAATTACTCAATAAGAGTATTTTACCTAGGGGTTTTGGGGTTTTGGGGTTTTGGGGAAATTATAAGAAGA